GCACTGCAGCCTGGGTCAGGGCTGGGCACTGCAGCCTGGGTCAGGGCCTGTTCTCGGGGAATTCTGCTCAACATGTTCTCTCTTCCACTGTCATTTTTGGAGTCCAGATCTTTCTGATCTCAACTCAAGGGCTCAATGAGTGTTCTTTATACCTGGATTCCTTCTTAAGTAGCTGTCTCAAAATAGTGCTTTCAAATCTTATCTTTGCCTTATGAATTTTAACATCCCCTGCTTTAGCTGGATCAGACCTCCTTCGTATTGGCTGCAGAATATCCATCTTCTTTGTCAGTTGCAGTCTACATTGAGCAGCTTTGTTCTCAAGTTATAAACACGAAGGACTTTGTCAGTTTGCCCCTTTCACCATGACTGTAGTGTTTATTTCTGTTTCAGCAATGCTTTGGAGTCTTGCTGGAAAAGCTTTTGATCCACCAGCTTTCCGGCGGAGTTTTCCAAAAGCTAGTTTATGTTTTTGGGGTGTGTGTACTATGCAGTATTTCATGGTGGTAGCTTGGGTTTCTCCTTCCATGCGCATGTTCCTTTGAAGTGCTTATGTTTTTATTCATCTTTTAACATCAAACTAACAGCAGACCTGTGGCACTCTAATCTCTTCAGATCGTATAACGGAAAGAATGCTTGTCCTGGCAGCTGCAAGCTCCCCTTAGACAGCAGTCTCTGTCTGGGGTGAAAGCATCTCTGGCAGTGAACAGAATAACTGCATGGTAATGACGCACCTATTTAGCAGTATTCTGTTCCAGGACGTTTTGAATGTGTATGTCTGGAGATACCCAGTGAAGGAAGAAGTACTGAAGTGTGATTTGGGAAGGGTTCTGCCTGGAATCCATTCTGTGCTCTAGAGAACGAGTCACTAAAACAGGCAGTAAAACAAAGCAGATTTTTTCCCTTTGTGTATCGCAGCTGGATTCAGAGGGGAATGTTGTTCTAGTGGAGATATTTTTACCGTGGAATGCAAGCTGCAGCAGCCTCAGTGTACCCCTCCACAGCCAGGATGCCCTGCTGTCATAAACCACCACCACCACCATGGTGTCTGGGTAACTGCAGGTTGCCTGTCTGGAATAAAACTTTGAGTTACTCAGCTATGTAGTTTCAGACTAAATGTGGCTTTATGAGTAACAGGCCGGTCTTCAGATTTCAGAAATGCAAAGTGTTCATTTAAACTTCTACAACTGTAAGTAAGTAAACTGATGAGGCTGTGTTCTTTAGATTTTTTTATATCCGAGGAGTCGCTCATTTGGAACAATGCTCCTGAAATGAGGAGGACAGTGAGCAGGACGTTGGCTTCCTTCGCTTCTTGCCTCATCAGTGATTTTCTAAACCCCTCAGAAGAAAGCTGCCCTATGATTAAGGCCTTGGATGAGACTGGAGAATTACATTCTTAGCTCTAGTTTCTGCTATGGCTATCTTATATGACTTTGAATAAGTTATTTAATCTCTTTAGGTCTCAATTTTTCATCTGTAGAAAAAACAAACAAAAAAACCCAACAAACCCAAACCTGATACTTCCTTAGAATTTTTTTTTATTTTGCATGTTTCTGCTCATTATATACATATAATGGCACAGTAGAGCACCATTTTCAGTTGTATTTTTAGGTGCTGTTGCAATAAAAATAATAATCTCTCTTGTAAATATGCCTTGCACAGTGTGATTAGAACATTAGAACCCAACAGATCAATACCATCTATTTTCCCAGTCAGAATGGCACTGTATCTTTTTGTGGAGATCAAAATCCAGAAAGAGAAGTGCTGGATACCTCAGCATAGGAACTAGCTGTTGCCTCACATTGTCGTAATTCTTCGCCTATAACTGGATGGAGTTTTTTGAGTATTTGTTTCAAACACCCTATGATTCTTCAGGCCAATCTGGCAGGCTCAGAGTGACTCTAATAGGTTTCTAAATCTGTGTTGATTCACAGATATTCTTATAAGAATCCTGTGCACTGAGGTTAAGAACTGCAGAGCAGATCTTCTAGGGACATTGATATATGTATTAGAAGAACTGCAAATGAGGAAACAGCAGCTGACTTGAAAACATAGTTTTTGATACAGCATATGATCCTCAGTCTTAGAGAATACTGAAGGCTCCAGCTTTGGGTTTGTATGCTTTCCTGGACTGCAGCTACTAAAGCCTTCTCATCTTTATGCCAAGACATTCTTTGGCCAGTGGAATCATTCCTCTGGACTTTTTTTTTTTATATGAAATCAGTGCTGATTTAAATAGTTCTGTTTTACAAAGAGCCTCGGACAGCATTATGTCCTGCCAGTGACTATCTGGAGAGTTCCTGGGGTGATCAGTGAGATGTAGCTTGCTGCCTTCTGTCTTGAGCCCCCAGTAAGTGCTGAAATTTTTATTGTACCTGAGAATTCTGCACAAGGGAAACTAGACAAGGAGTTGTATGAATGAGCCAATAGTCTATTTGAATTGAGAAGGAGCTTCTTTGATGTAAATTTGGCAAGAGGGGACTCTGTGTTAGCTGACCCCTAGGAGAGGATTGGGATGTAGGGAACTGAGCCATGGAAAGGAGGTTACATTCTGTATACTTGTGAGCTGTTGTTCCTTTAAGTTTCTTTCAATTAAAAGATTTTGAACTGGAACATTTGGACTGATGTTTTGCCAGCAGTGGGAAATAGTTGTGGACATGGATCCTGAAACTTAGAACTATGGTTATTTGTCAACCTGTGAGTAAATAGGGTAGAGGTTTATACTGGGGCACATTCTATCTATGTTTGTGTGGTTGAGTGTGTCTGTCCAGCTCTTGATCTGTGTTTCTCACTCCTTTTCTCTTTGTGCCTCATGCAGGCCCTGCCATGAATTTTCTCTGACCCCTTGGGGCCATTCCCACATGAAGCTTTGATGTGTGTGCCCAGAGCTTGATTGACAAGGAAGTTTTGGTGGCGGCAGCAGGGAAACGAAGAGAAAAGGGCAGGGCTTTGAACTAAAGGGCTTTGAGCTCTGAGATGCTGTGCTTACTTATCTCCTTCAGAATGTTAATTATTTACCAAGATAATTGGTTGGGAGAGGAAAAAAAGAGAGGGGAGGTTATTAAAAAATTCCAACACTAACACACTACAAAACCCTCATTTTCCAACTTGCAGCTGGCATGAAAAGGATGTTGTGTGTAAAAGGGCTTGAGTGTATGTGTGTTGGGGGGGAGGGGCCTTTTTAAGGCACCCATTTCCTAAATAGAGGGATCCCTTCAGATGAATGCAGCGGAGACATCAAAGCTCTTGCAAGAGTTTTCTCTGGGGTTTCTAAACTGTGTCTGGTACGTTTTAATTAAAAAAGTTTATGGGGAGCTGTCTTTGTGACTGGAGCAGGCAACCTTAGGCCCTGTTGACTGAGGAATGAAATGTTGAAAGACCTAGTAAATAATAATTTCTGCTAAAATGTCAGTTTGAGGATGTGAAGATGCCTGGCTACTTTAGCAGGAGCTGCAACTTAAGAGTGGGCTGATGAATATCTCCTGCTTCAGTCTTACACGATATAGGTCATACTATATGTGAAAGTCTCCTATAGTCTTTGGATTAATGCCAAAAAATCTGTAACACTACATACTTATGTGAATTTTGTAGCTGGGAGGATAGGTGAAGCTGTTTCATTTTGCCTCCAGTTAATACAGTTTTATTAGTCCCCGTATTAGGTAGCCATCCACAGACCCCTCCATGAATATCAGGGTTCCTTTGAGTTCTGGTAATTGCTGTGCTGGATCAGGGCCAGAGACTGTCATTCCAGTCTCCTGATTGTGCTGATGGTGGCAACAGAGCTTCAAGAAAACTCAAGAGCATGAAGCCTACGTTAAGTATGTATTAATGATATGAAGAGGGGCAGCTGTTTCCTTTGTCTATTTATTTGTCGGAGCAAGGTGAGAAATGTAGTGGCATTGTTTTGTCAGGGTGAATGTAGACCATTGATCAGCATTTTCAGTAGAGTTTCTGGCTTTGACAGTATTTACTTTTACACTATGATGATTTGGTTTCTTTACCAGTCTCTTAAGGCCTTCTGAAAGCTTAAAATAATTATTTCACCTATTTTTTTCTTTATGTAGTGTTATACTGACATGTTAATTCAGGAAATAAAGATGATATTTTTCTTTTGGAATTGTTACTGGTACAGCTGGTTACACCATATCATATTAGTCTTCTCCATATCACCTTCAAACCCTTTTAAACAGATGAGCCTGTCCTTGCAGCAGTGGCTGTTGTTACCCTAGAGCTTAATAATTTTAAATCTTACTCTTCATTCCCCTGAGGGCACTCGGGTGAACCATCTGAACGTGGTGATGTGGTGCTTCTTCCTGTATCACTTAGTTCCAGCTGCAGTCTTTTTACTGCTTCGGTTTCTTTTGAGGGTGTGGTGTCATATTATAGAATCATTTAGCTTGGAAGAGACCTTTAAGATCAAGTCCAAACGTTAACCCAGGACTAGGAGGTCACTGCTAAACCTTCTGGTGTTCAACCTCTCCTGGCACAACTTGACCATTTCCTCTTGTCCTACCACTGCATCATGGAGAGATGTTGAAACTAGACAAATTCCAACTAGAGACAGATGATAAATGTGGTAGAATAATATAGAATAGATTTCTGAGGGCATAGCTGGATTTTCCTTCTCTTGCTATCAGCCGCTCAGGTCTCGGAAGATATCTAGTGATATTCATGTTATCTGCTCAGCAGTGGGGAATGTGCATGGAATGTGATGCCTGAGACAGAGGGACAGCAGAGAACAGATGGCAGGGCAGCCGCGTGCTGGGCGCTTGCCGTGCGGCTCGGCTCATCTCTGTGGAGAACAGGACATAGAATTTTGCTTCGTGTCTTACTCTGGGCCCTGTGCTCTACACAAGTTGAGCCTTTTCTGAAATACAGATGCTTCACTGACCTCAGCTTGAACTCTGTGAATTTGTCTGTAGCTGTCTAACCTGTCTCTAATGGCCACAGTGAACTGTGAAATCATCTACAATCAGTGATCTCTTTTTCCCCTTTTGCTGCAGGCTAAGCTCTTTCCAACCGCTGTCATTCATTTTGGATCTGAGGAGTGCAGGGGTGAGTGAATTTCTTCTCTGCTTCAGCTGACTGTATAGCTCCTATAGTAGACCCAGAAGAATTGCAACCTTACATGCAGAGTTGTTCTGACAAAAGACAATGCTGTCCTCAGGAACGCTGGTGAATGTGCCCCTTCAAATGGCTGGAGCTTGTCAGCACGAGCTTGGTCAGTTAACGTGAGCACAGATGTAAGCACAGTACCTTTTCTTGTGAGAAGCCATGGGATAGGCATGGTCTGCTATGGGGATAAGAATGATAGAAGAATGACTCTGCAGAAGGAAATTCCATTATTCAGAGTGGTAGCCAGACAAATGACCGTGAAACACTTTTACAGACCTCCTGTTGTAGTGCACTGGCTGAAGATGGGAGAGCAGATCCAAGTCATTAATTCTTTGACATCTCAGCATTATGCTTAGAATCTCTGTTTCTCCCAGAGATTAAAGCATGCTCTGGCTTCACAGAAAAGTTTCTGAGATGCAGTGAGCACTGAAAGAAAATGTCAAGGCGTGGAGGTTTGAATGGTGAAATAGGGCACCTTGGGTTGTGGAATAAAATGTCATAGTTTAAAAATGCCCTGTGTCAGCTGGGGAAATGGATGGAGCAGTATACAGCAGGTATTTTCTGAGCAGAGAGCTGTGTGATTCTGTGGTGATTGATGTCTCTATTACCAAACAAGTATTTGGGTTTCATTTTTAAACAGATTGTTACCTGAAATCGGACCTGCTGAGCTCTGCGGTTTCCCCTTCTGCAGCTGATGTATTAGTAGCCAGGTATGTGGGGACTGAACAGAACTGCAAACGAGTGAGTGTTTCAGGGGTGTGAAGCATGAAACGAGCCCATCTTACTACAAAGAAATATGTGCTGAAGATGCTGAGACAGGAGAAACAGTCATATTGCCATACTTGACTTCATAGCTTTGTGGATCCCTCTTTGCAAAGTAGGATATCAATGACTAAATCAAGTAAATCCTGTCACTTCCATCACAAAAAAGATGAGCCTTTTCCGTCTGACTTTAAAGGTGGTGGTGGTGGTACAAGAGGCTATTATGAAAAAAATTAAGCTGAATTGCTTCTGTTCTTCCTCAGGTGTTTGTCTGAATCGTCGGTTCCTCCCGCTTCGCCATCGCTGGAATCAGCAGTTCCACCCCTGCCTGCACCAGGAGTGGGAAGTGACAGGCAGAGCAGTGAGCAGCCAGAGCCAGCCAGCGTGCACGAAGCTCCGCAGGTGTCGAGAAGGGTCCCAGGGAAAATACCCAAATGGCTGAAGCTGCCAGGTACCATGAAGCCAGAGCAGAGCTCTTGTGGTTCAGAACTCCCCAGAAAGGCAGGCTCCTCTGTGCCAGATGTGTTGGATGTTAGAATCACAGAATGGTTTGGGTTGGAAGTGACTGTCAAGATCGTCTAGTTCCAAATCCCCTGCCATCAGATGTGTTGGATGTTAGAATCACAGAATGGTTTGGGTTGGAAGGGACTGTCAAGATTGTCTAGTTCCAAATCCCCTGCCATGGGCAGGGACACCTCCCACTAGACCAGGTTGCTCAAAGCCCCATTCCACCTGGTCTCGAACACCTCCAGTGACAGAGCATCCACAGCTTCTCTGGGCAACCCGTGCCAGTGTCTCACCACCCTCATCATGAAGAACGTCTTCCTTATTTCTAATCTAAATCTGCCCTCTCCCAGTTTGAAGCTGTTAACCCTTGTCCTGTCACTGCAAGCCCTTGTAAAAATTCCCTCCCCAGCTTTCTCGTAGGCCCCCTTGAGGTACTGGAAGGCCACACGAAGGCCTCTCTGGAGCCTTCTGTTCTCCAGACTGAACAACCCCAACTCTGTCAGTCTGTCCTCCCAGCAGAGGTATTCCAGCCCTCTGATCATTTCTGTGGCCACCTCTGGACCTACTCCAATAGATCCCTGTCTATCCTGTGTTGAGGACTCCAGAACTGGACCCAGCACTGCAGGTGGGGTGTCTCCCCAGGGAGGAGCAGAGGTGCAGAATCCCCTTCCTTAACCTGCTGACTGCATGTCTTCTAATGCAGCCCAGGATATGGCTGGCTTCTGGGCTGCATTCACACATTGTTGGCTCATGTTGAGTTTTATATCAACCAGCACCCCCAAGTCTTTCTCCTCAGGGCTGCTCTCAATGCCTACTCTGCCTAGCCTGTGATTGTACTTGGCATTGCCCTGGCCCCAGTGCAGGACTTTGCCCTTGGCCTTGTTGGACTTCTTGAGGTTGGCATGTGCCCACCATGTGAGCCTGTCAAGGTCCCTCTGGACGACATCCCCTCCCTCCAGTACTCTTGACATTATTCTTGAAGATGTCAACGTAACGAGGCCTCCAGGACATTTGGTTCAGTGCTTATCCATGACAAATCATTTTGTGACTTAAACCTCAGTGTTCACTGGAGAAGTATCTAACTGCAGGGTCTGGGCATTATTGAGTCGTGTCTAATCCATATGCTTGCATCATCTTAAATATGTTCTGGGCTTAATGTGTTGAGTTCTTAAGTATGCTAGTGTAGTTCAGGTACTGATAGGCATGATATTTCACATACCAAGGGCCTGTGTCACCTGTTACATCTATTATAATTTTTCCTTTGCTGGTGTAGTCTTAGTACTTTCCTTTTTCTTGATTGTTTTGAGGTGGTCTTTCTGTTTTTAATCCTCACTGCAAAGCAGTAGTGGTTTTCCATGTTAAGATTGCAACCAGGTTTCCATTATGATTTTTTCCTGGCTTATCCTGATGAGAAAACATCGACCTTGCTTTTAGTCCCAGAACCAATACCTAATGTGTAGTTTCATGTGGGAATTTATACAAAATACAAAGTAACTAGAGGAAGGATTTCTGAATTAAACAATTGGCAATATTCACTTTTTGATGCAGTGGCAAAGCAGAGGAGAGGAGGAAAAAAGGAAAAAAAAAAACCCAAAACCTTACCTTAATTCAGCTCCCTTAACAGCAACAAAGCTAGGAATTACATGGTATTCACTAGCTAAGAGTGCCAAATGTTGACATCCTGAATGAGACTTTTAGCATTTGCTTGGAAGATACTCCGGGGCCGTCAGCTCCCACAAGCACAGCATCAGGTGTGAAAGGGTTGCTGGAAGGCTGCAGATGCTGGGTTGGTGTGTTCCCCTGCTGTGGCTGGTGTGTTCTAGACTGGCACTGGGATCCTGATGCAGACTGTGAGAGAAACAGTGTGATTATTTCCCATTTCCAGTATGCTTGAAGTGCTCCACTTAAGAGTAGAACCTTCTTTCCCAAGTGAAGATTATCTGGATAAAGTAGGAAATAACATCTCACCTGCCTGTGCAGGTTACCCATGAACAGCTGATACAAAATGTTAATAACATGCTGTAACCTGTGTGTTAATAGCATGTAGGATGAAGTTCCCCACTCTGGAAGTGATGATGTGTTCACCCTTCCATCTCTGCAAGAAGTGTTCCTACATGCTACCCAGCTGGCCAGAGCACAGCAGTGTATAGAGCCCTCAGCAACCAGACCAGTTCTTGACAACTGATCCAGTGCAACTTGGTTTAGTGTTTTAATGCTCTTATGTTTGTTTTGTAGGTGGGAAGAGATGAAACATGGATGGATGAGCAGTCAGCTGTGCCTCTTTCCTGATGAACTTATTCAGAATGTGTAAGAAATTGTTGGTGGCCCTGGAAAGATCTAATTTGTATGAATATTAGTTATAAATAGAAAATTGTAATTTCAAATGCTAGTTTCACCTTTTGGAAGAGTGGAAAGCCTGTTTTTGGTCTTCATGACTATAGAAGCAAGATTAGAGATTAAATTAAAGGTTTCTTGCATGCAGATAATACGAATAGCGAATTAAGGGGGAAATGATTTCTGCATACTTTCTGTGAAGGACTTTGATTCTATCCATATTCTTGAATTCAAATCTTGCCAATTCTGTCTTCAGAGAACTCGAGTCTGGCTGTCTGCATTCTGGCAGCAAGATACAGTCTGATTCAGTTTTACCTATAGCCAAGTGCTGCCTAGAACAAGGTGACTGCTTCTTGCTGGCTGGGGTTAGTGCTGCTCATTCTGGGCACAGCTGGCTGGAAGGTGAGTGGAGGGGAAGCCCTTCCTCACCAAAACAGTTCAAACAGGCCTTTCCTGTGTACCTCTTTGTCTGCTGCACTTACATTGTTTTCAGTTGCCAGAATCTTGTCAACAAAGAACACAGGTATCTGTTGATGAATACATGTGGAGTTTGTTTCTGTTTATTTTCACTACATAGAATCAACATCAGTAACTACAGATACAGTGAGGAAAAAAACCCTACAGTAGAAGGGTCTTTTCATGTGACCTTCAATCTATGGACTTCTGAGATCCAAACGTTCCCACAGCAGAGTGGCTGCTCTCTGCATTGCAGTTAGTGTACAGAGGGAGGCCCTTGTCCAGGGATAAATATTTTTGGTTAGAATTGCACTTACACTGGAGCTGAAGTGTATAGTGCCACAGCAGCCATGGTGCTGTGTTTTATCTGAAGTCTTCTCCATGGATCAGTGGTGTCTATTGGACAGCTGGGGTTCTGTGCCATGGTAATAACATGTTTTCCATTTTCCCTGTGGAGACAGTTGTTCCCTGAACTACGTGTGCATCTACACAATTTGTAGCTGTAATAAAGCAGTGGCTATAGGAGGCCTTTTTGTCGGTCTCTTTGATAAGACATTTCTTCCCTGCAGTACTCAGTTTCTCTGTCAGTTCACAGGAACCTGCTCCCTCTTCAATGGCCCTGTCATGCCTCATTCCTTTCCTCACAGTCTTGGTGTTTTTTTTTTTTTTCCCAACAAAGCAAAATGGAGCTTTGTACCATCTGAATGAACTTCAAAGTGGCTAGAAAGGGCACCCAGGGTTCCTGGCACTTGTCATTGTCTCCCAGCCTGGCCAACAATTCCCTTCAGGTCTAATTACTTCCAAATGCTCTCAGATGCTTTGAAGAAGCTCAGAGGGAGGAGTCAGCATGAAAGGTGGAAGAGGAAGAAGGAGACTCAAAAGTGGAGGAAGCAGTATGCTGTATCAAAAATGCTGATTTCTTGTATGTCACCCAGACATAAATGGGATAAATGGGGAATGTGTGTGGCTGCTGGCAGTGGGGAACACAAGAGCACTCTGTACAGCTGCTGCTGTAAATCCTCCCTGTGGACAGCAAGCCCTTCTGGCACCTGACAGGCTATAAAAGACATACTACATCAAACAGAAAAAAAATGAAATAATGTTTCAAGTTTATTACTTTAGTGGGCTATGGGGGGACTGAGCCTACACTCCATAGGACTGTCTGTGTCTTGGTTCAGGAGCTGTGTCAGGCTTACTTCACAGCAGTCAGAGGTAGATTGTAGCTAGAGCTGCTTTGCTGAACTTAGGCAGGATACATAGGGGACAAGTAATAGCCATAGCTAATGATAGGTGATGGTACAGTTGTGCTGGTGTTTGATACACAGGGTTAGAATGAACAGGAGGAGTTTGGTTGGTGTAGGAAGTTACAGTGTGCTTTCAGATGCACTATTCTTATTTTTTGAGGAACACAGGCAATATCAAATAGTACTCCTTGGCTCATCTGCTTCAGCAAAGAGTTAGCACCCAAATTGTCACCTGCAAGTACCTGATACGGGAAAACAGAAGTTTAGGGACACAAGCAGGAGTATCATTGCACAAGCAGTTTCTTGGGTTAAGTAGGGGGATTAGGAGACTTCATCCTGCTTACCTCAGTCAGTTCTGCCCACCCTTGCCCCTGCGCAACTCAACCATGTATCAAACCAAAATAATCTCTTCCAGGAGAATGAAAAATTGGTACCTTCAGCTAGACCAGAGGTCTTATTCCCCTTCCCCTATGGGAAGAAGAGTTAGCTTTTGCTGCTGCTGCTATTAAATTACTGCTTTACTGCTAACATTGACATCAGCAATCCTCTTCAGTCAAGAACCCTTCTGTATGGACCAGCTCAGGGAAGTGAACTCGAGCCTTTTTAGGGCAGAGGCTTTGAAAGACCCATGTGTCATTAGGAATCGGACTGGGGGGAGAGGTGAGGATCTGGAAAAGGCAAGAAAGTCAATATGAATTCTTTAAGAGGGACAAGATGCTCCAGAATTTAAAACTGCAGGTTCTTCAGTTGCTATGAGGATTCCTACCCTGCCACAGAACAATACATGCAAGTACTTGATGAGCTGGATTATCAGTATCACTTCTGCTGTGGTAGTTGAACTCATCCCTGGGATTTTTGGGCATTCAAAGGTAGCATTACTTGTGGCTTTGTTTGTTGGTTTTTTTTTTTA